ATTTAGGCCGCCCTCAGATTATCTACTAGTGCCCCGACACACCCGAGTCGCTGGGATGAAACCGGCTCACATTTTCGGGTGGGTTAGGATTAGGGTTTAGGGTTTAGGGTCGTGACGTGCAAATTTAGCTGTGGGGGCGACCCCAGGATTGGCGCCAGGAGGCTGCGGAACCCCCGCCTCCTGGCGCCCGCTCCGGGGGTTACGGGGCGTACAAAAAAGCTATCAATGATGGGCTAGTACCGGGCTGATGCCATAAAGTCTCTAAAGTAGCATAAAATACAGATCTCCAAAATCTGTGTTGCAGACACGCAAACCGTGCATTCGCTGTTTTTTTCCACTGGTGCTGTCAGTGGCATCGCCAAAAAAAACCCACTGGTCCACGCGTGGCCGAGCCTCATGACAGGACGAGAACTCTAAGAACCTAAGAATGGGCGGACTTCGTCATGAGATTCTGAGTAGCAGTGGATGGCTCCCAGGCACACAGGGAAGACGCAGCAGACTTCGTGGCTCTGGTCTGTGCAAGGATCGTGCACGCAGTTGCGGTGAGACTGTGACTTGCACATACATGCACATCAGTCGCACTTTTTCGGGAACCTAAGAAACTTGAAAGTGCATACCAAACTATTTGCATAATGTGACCCTGTTCTACACTGCCTGCACAAGCCCCGCGCACAACGGCGTGTTTTCAGGTGCCAGTCTGCCGTCCGGTGTTTCTACAGGTTCAGAAGTCACTAGACGTCCCCATAGTTGGACCCAGAAATGCCGTCTGCACGTGTAAACTGGTGCTTTCTACAGACGCTGCACTGGGTAGCATAGCCTAGGCTTTACCCTAAACCTGCACCGGCGACTCGACGACTTACTACTTGAGCAGGTGCTTCGCACCTGTGAGTTGCTTGCGCTTTTCGCGCTCAGCCTTTTTGGCCTCCTTGGAATCACCTGCACCGGATACCACCGTCTGGAGGCCGCGTTTTTCCATGGCCGACTTGCGCTCCTCCACTGCGGCGGCGAAGCCGAGCTCGATCTGACGGTCATCGATATCCACGAAGTCCTGCAATACGCTGTGGCGTTCATTTTAGGGCCTACAACTGTCACACGTGCATGTGTGAGTCGGCAACAGGCAGCACGCTTTGTGAGCAATCCTCGGCAAACTCGAAAGGTTTGAAACCTTTGGCAACGTACTTGAGAGCTGGCATCGACTCGCATGCGTCGGTCGTGTAGGCATCGAGCTGGGTCAACACTGGCTCCAGCCTGCAGCATATACAGCCTGACGCACGGCCTGACACGCTGAAAACCGTGGTATGAAAATCCGACCTGCGTCGCATCGCAAGGGAAAATACGGACAATAATACCCCCCCAAACCCGCCCAGCCACCGGAACGGCACCAAAATTGCAAGTGATTAAGTCATTGTAACTGAAGGTGGGGGCTGCCGCCGGGTGCAGCGGCAGCGGTGGTGCAGCAGCGCCGGCATAATGGTGCAGCATTGTTGTAGCCTGTAAAATTTTCACTGTAAAACCGTAAAATGCAAAACGAACATGATAATACGCGGTGTTTGGTTGATAGACCTCATGCCCTCCATGTGACGTGATGTTGACTTCGATGTGGCCAGATGCCAGTGGCATGTTTGTCATGATCATGGTCATGTTTGATGAGAACATCACACAACGCACAGCATGCACTCAGCACGCATGTGAGTGTGAGCGCATGTGATAGTGATAGCCGTGATAGCCGTGATAATCATCGTGACCGTGACACTCATGAACTGTGCCAGTAACTCCGCGGATGCATGGACTCAGGGACCCATTCTTTAATTGCGCTGTGGGCAGCGGGACCTGGGACGGCCCTGGGACATGCGTGTCCGGCACGTCCCATGAGCCCATTCATTTCATGATTGATATGAGATATCATGAGACATGTAGTCACGGAGTCATGGAGTCATGCTCTGCACTGCATTGCATTGGCATTGGTAGACTCACAGCCGCATTCGCACTCACAAGGACGCTCACAACATCATTGTGGCTAGTATCGATCTGACGGTCAAGCTGATGTCGATGCACGGAATGTCCACATCGGCAGCGTCGTCAACGATCTCAGCGACTTCGTTGGACCCCTTGGACTTGGACTCAGCCTCCTTGTCTTTGATCGCGTTCTTCCTCAGATTCTTCAGGTTCTCCACGTGCTCGTTCCAATCGCTCTTCGTCCACAACTGAAGACGCTCGTCGATCACCTGGTTGTCCATTGGTTGTCTACTCTACCGCTGGCGTGGCCGAGGCACACATGCACACAAAAGCTGATGTTAACACTTCAAGTCAGCTAAGCTGGGAACGTAAGGAAACAGCGTTTTCTTCGCGATCACTGTCGCGGCAGTCGGTACCTTGGTCGTACCAACCATCCAGGCAGGCACAACAGCCAATTGGGTTGGAGTCGGTGGAGGAACTTGGTTGACGTAGAACTGGATGCCGAAGACGGATACGAGTGGGATCGCCGTACCGGTCTTGATGTTACTCACAGGGCCTGCAAACACCATCCGCACCCGATGTCCATCGTTCATCAACCTGGACACCTCTGTGAGATTCTGCAAGGATATGCGCTCCTTCTCCACTGCCTTGGACACCTTGCTGATCTTGCTCTTGTTACCAGTGGACAATGCGGCCGACTCGTCATCCGGATTGCCAAAGTTCCAATGAACGCAAAGGGAAGCAGCGTCGTCCAACTCGTTGCGGAATATCTCCTGCTACTGAACTCGCTGAACTACACAATGCACAGCCTCACTGCACTGCACAATGGATGTTCAATGCTCGATGAACTGGGCTGAATTGGGCCCATTTCAAGGCCCAGTTCTCACACGCAGCACGTCACGACAGGCATGACATGATTCGGATTCGTGAGATTCGTGGGCTTATGGGCCTTATGAACACAGACACAACAAAATCCATCTTGGTTTGATGCGGCATGCGAGGCGTCCCTGATTGACTCCATGACTCCATGACTCAATGATCGCCCCCATGGCCCCATGGCCCAATGCCTGCATGCAGTGCAGCATGCATGTCAATGCACGTCACAATGACTGTCTCAATGGTCCATGAGTCCACGACACGACGGGACGTGCGTGGCGCATGGCATGCATGCATCAGATCAGTCAGCGTTGTGGCGCTGCCCAAAGTGCCAAATCATTGCCAAATCATGAACAATCATGACTCTGACGACTGAGCTTGATGACTTCACGACTCGTGTAAATTCGCAAGCCAGAAACAGGCTAGCAAGTTAAAAATTAACAGGCTGTTGGCTGTTAACACGTTAACAGGCTAACACGACTGACTCACACGCACGTACACGTACACATACCTATACGACTCTTGGCCCACAGGCCCACAGGCAGAAGAGTCAAGACGCAAGACCTGGCCAACACCGACGAGACCCTGAGGAACAGAGTAAAGGCCAACATGCACATGAATGAATGAACGTGGCAAGCATCCAAGGTCCAAAGAACTCAGTTCAATCACATGGGATGACTCGGATAACTCAACTGACAAACTGATCGGCGCTCCCTCACTCACAGAGACAGACTCATGAAATCTGAGAGTCAGAACTTCAGAAAGAACCATTCAGACCTATCGACCAATCAGTGGACCAATCTGACCAGGCCAACCAGTGGGTCAGTGGGACCAAGTGATGAATTGAATTGATGAACTAACGGCGGACCGACGGTGACCATTATGAGTCGTGACTCATGACTCATGACTCATGACCCTGACCATTGACCATTGCCGACCACCAAGCGACAGGATGCAACAGTACACGTCACTGCAGAGTGTATGTTGATTATGTTGACGAATCGACGAACTCTGCGTCATCACTGAGTAATCGCAAAGCCAAGCCAAAGCTGAGGTGCTGTCCCACACAGCAGTCTCCAACCGCAGGGCCAACATCTTGATGTCCAAGCTAGACACACGATTCGGACTGTCGCCGAACAACCTTTGGTATTGCTCATGACCCTGAATCGACGCGGCGCCGCAAAGCTCGAGTGTCTTCATTGACAAAGTCGTCACAGGATCGCTCGCCGAATCTTTTGCCTGGGGCTCCCCTTCCTCACCGCCCTCATCGACCTCCTCCGTGAGGTCGTCGGCACCGACGCGCTTGCGCTTGGGTCGCTCGACGTCTGTCGAAACTTCTGCTGACGTGCCGCCGCTGAACAACTTGAGGAAGCTGTAGGCGCCCTGGACTGACTTTGTTTTCAGCAGAGACGTCCAGCTCGTAGCCCATGCCTGAGGACCTGATGATGAGTCTGATGAGTCATGATTCAGTCATGATTCCAGTCATGATGATGAATCGCGATGCTATGTTACCATTATGCTGGTGACGTGACGAGTCCGTGACGAGCGTCACGTCACGTGTGTAACTTGTAACTTGTAACCTCGTGGTTGTACTGATTGTCGGTCCTGTCTCTTATCTCCGAGACTATCTCCTGCATTGGACCGAATGATTCTGAGACGTATTCATTTACGAGTTGACTAGGCTTCTTATATCTTATTGTCTTATTATTAGTGATCATAGTGATCTACGTTTATGACGATTATGTATTCTCTCTCCCGAAAAAGGTCCAGTCTCCTAGCCTCGTCTATTGACCAGCAGCTAGTACTGGACTAGACCACTAGACCAATATGAAGAAGACCCTTGGACCCTTAGACCCTTAGACCCTTAGATGTCTTACACATTCCTTGCTCCACTGGCTCATGAAAGTGACGTGGCTATGACCACATGGCAAACTGTCTCATTCATGACTCATGACTCATGTCGGTTCATGGCTCATGACTCATGACGGTCATGACAGGCATGCGGTATGAGTGACGTGACATGCCTGTGTGAAAAACAAAGTCGTATGAACGGTCAGGTGCTCAGGACGCAATGCTGCAATGCCGCAATGCCGAATGACGCCAATGATGCTGCAATGATGAACGGACGGACCTATCACATCGACTCATGCCTCGTGAAACCTACGGACCTACGAGTCACTTTGGACTCTGGATGGACGGGACTCGGTCAGACGCTGAGGCTGAGGCTCAATCGTTAAGCCGCTACGGCTAAGGCTGAGACTGGGACCGACAATGATTATGTTGGACAAGCCGCTCTGAAGCACGTCGAAACCAGGGATCAGCAAGGCCACTGGGTGGGGCTTAGTCTTCGTAGGAGCATCTTCTTCCTGTGACCCCTGCTGCGGCTCACGCGACGCACCCGCTACCGATGCAGATGCAGATCCACTGTGCGACTGTTTGGACCCAAACCATTCCACTGCATTCTGCATGTCCACATGCAAGGAAGAAATCAGGAGGCTGACGTCAGTCTCGAACCGGACTTTGTGCATCCTGATGGGGACAGGCTAGGCTCTAGGCTCTAGACAGGCATGACATACAGGAGTACAGGACTACAGGACCCCTGTCTGTGTTTAGGGTGGTGGTTTAATGGTTTAGTATGGTTTAGGCTGGTTTAGGGCTCGGGTTCAACGGGCCATGGGTCCAAAGCTCAACTAGGCTATTGCCGCGGCTACTGCAGGGTTTCCCGGACCCCAACCCCACCTGTTCAAGTCACGGAGCAACGCAAGCGTGTACAACGCTCGCATCGCACAGAACCTCTCCAGCACGTCCTTCTGGCCGCAGAACACCTGCGGATCAGACTGACAATTTGACAATTCATTCGGGTGGCCGGTGGCAAATGGTCAGGCATGGGGGTTGTAAGGACTCTGTTCCAATCCGCGGTCTTCTACTATTACTAGTGCATACGTCGTCTTGGCAGGTATCGCATCGTTGGAAAGAGGACCAGATGACCAGTAGTCGATAACCAATAATGATAACAATAATAATATCAAATAACCATAGTAATGATAATCATTGAATCATTGAATCATTGATAAATAAACACAAAAAAAAACGGATGCCTCGCCAGAGTTGCCGACGAAGTCGAGACGTGCCGCGTGCATATCACAGACGTCCGCCGCGAAGGAGAGCCACCGCTGGGGTAGCACGCCCTGTAAGCTGTCAAAGATCTTCTGCATGACCGTCTGCAGCGAGGACTCCGAAACGAGTCCGGTGTCCGTGGCGAGCGTTTGCCTTGCGGCCGCAAAGGCTCCGTGGTACGAGAGCGGCAGCGGAAGTACGTCCTTGATGAATGCCATCATGCCGGAGGCCTTCACTGCGTCGATGCTGTGCTTGATGCGATCCAGTGTCCTCACCTCGTCGGATTCGTCCTTCACGTTGCCGCCGGTGGCCCACCCCGCATCCAGCAAGTCAGAGAAGTTCGCACCCAGCTGCATGTGAGCGGTGGCAGAGGGCGTTGTACTGCTAGAGGCCGACGCAACACCTGTCGGGAGCCATGCAATCCACGTAAAGACGTAAAGGTAACATTTGTTACCTTTGCTTGTTCTTGCTTCGCACCCAGGTAGGACGAAGCCGAAGCCCGCGACGCAAACGGCTTTGGGATTTCGGGTTGCGCATGGCAGGGGTTGGGTTGGGTTTTTTTTTGTGTTCACGGGGGGAAAGCGTGATGTGCGCTGACCGATCTAACTGATCTAATGTAATGGGAATCGTGACCACATCACGTAATGATAATCACTCTGTCATGCCTCATGCCTCATGCCCGATGACCCTCATGACTGACTCATGACTGTATATGACCACATGCGGCCTCTCCGTCGTGACTCATGACTCATGACTCTCATGACTCATGTCTACTGACTCGTGGCAGTGGCACTCGTGTTCATGTGGCTCACGTGAGACCGGATGTGATTCACTCAGACTCACACTCACACTCTAGGTTTCGGTTTCGGAGCCTGTCACAGCCAGTTCACAGGACGTGTGGACAAACGTTTCAAGCTCCGGTCTGAAAGCTGTGTAGGTTCTTGTGAACTTTCCGTTGATCGCAACCACTGCCGTCCACGTGAACTCGAGGAAGTAGGAGACTGCATACCCAAAGACGTTCATTTTGGCTTCGGTCCAGAGCTGCAAGGTCCTCTCTGACATGCTGTAGACACCTGCAGGAATCAAGAATCAACGGCTCAAAGGCTCAAGGAGAAACCATGTACACAATTGAGTTAAAATTGCACGGTGTGATTGCGATTGCGAAGTTGGGTCGGCCTCCAGGTGAGATCTTTTTCTCCGCCTTCAAGAAATTCTGCATCATGATGGCCATGAAGTCATCCATGAGCGTCTTGGGGCGTGTCGCATCGGACTGACTGCCATCAACCCCTTCCATAGGGACGGCAAGACTGCTCCATGAGGACAATCGGGCGATGGATTCATCTGCATCTGCTTTGCCCTTGCTGCCGCCTTTGGATCCTTTGGCTTTGGACTTGGCCTTCGCTTTCTTCTTGGGGTTGATCTTTCCCTGCTGGGCGGACTCAGCAGCATTCTCAGCTGCAAATGCAAATGCAACTGCATCTTCCTGCGACGTTGGGGACGCTGGACGCTGGACTCTATTATCAGTGATCAATTAATGATCATTATGTTACCCGTAATCATCTGGCCCCTGCGGCCCCTGCCGTGTGTGGCTGCAGCACAGCCTCTTACATGCCTTACATGGACAGCTTTGCAATCACAGTCATCATGCCGAGAATCATGGCTACCAACACCGCACCGGCATTACCGTAGTGGTTATGATGATGAGTCGATGAGTCGATCAGTTGTTAGTCAGATAGTCTAGTCGATAATTCGATTGTTCTGATGCATCGACGATTCAATGCACTGACAAGGAAAGCTTGCTTGCACCTTTTACCACTGGAACATTGACTACTGGACTCCACATGTCCATTGGCCCCTCGACTCCATTGACTCCGTTTAAATCATTTCGACTACAACACGCTTGCTTGCATTGCTGCGACTGGGTTCGGTTCGTCGAATGATCGATTCGTCGATTGGTTATGTTGGCACGCGCAGTCGAACGATTCGAATGCCGAACGAGCCGCCTCTGCTTTTGCGGCTGCCTCCTGCTCCGCCTCCAGCTTCCTGAAGACTACGCTGGTGGCCATGGGGGTTGTCACAAAGTTCATGATGCCTATGCTCTCGCCGCCGGGCTTGACGAAGACGTGAGGAAGCAGACGTTGTGCCCCCCCCGTATGACGGGTTGGCACCTAAACGGCGAGGCGAGGCACGTGTGAGACGTTGTGTTTTTGATCACATGCAACGGTCTGCAATGTCAGCAACTGCAATGGCTACGTGCCGCGCTATGCAACTCAAGCGTCTTAGATTCGTCGAGTCGTAGAGCCGTAGAATCACACAGCAATCGAGAGTCGAGAGTTTGAGTAGTGGTACTAGTAGTTACTAGTAGTAATAGTAGTAGTAGT